GGCTCACTTAATTTCCATGATTATTACATAAAGTGTTCTTTGCTAAAGAATCTGTGTGGTCCAGCTAATGGAATCGACTTTGGTACACAAAAAAAACATTCTCAGTCTGTTAAAAAGTATCTGAAAAGCATAACCATTTTGTCTCTTGCATAGATAAGCAATTGTACAGGCTATGATTTGGAGAGAATAGGAGAGAGAAGGAATGTTTAACAAGTAGACATACATCCACATAAAAACCAACATGCACAGAGCAAAAACACGAACTCTGTAATGTGGTAAGAGCTAATGTAGAGGTACAAGAATATCACCCTGGAAATATCCTGGTATCACAAATTAACTAGTTTCTGAAGTCCAGGCTAGTGCCTATTTAAAGCATATTTTCTCCCATTTATTAAAACTTAAAGAAAGTATGCACACCACACATGTAATATGTATTTCTAGTTAGATATAAGACTATATAATTCCATCATGCAGTATTATTTGCCGAAACTGTAAAAAACAGCAGCAAGAACAGTAACACAACTTTTTTTTTTCCTATGTAACGCTAATCAATACTCACAAGATTCAGCATGTGTTTCTGTTTTGAGTAAATACATTTCATATTTCATTACAGGGTAATACTAGAAGTCACATTTACTGACAAGTGTATTTTAGCGTGCAGAGTGCTTTTTCCCTCCATCCTGCTAATAGGAATCACTGTGTCAGTTTTGACAGTTTGTCATCTTCGCAAACACATCAAGGGAAACAAGGGAAGCTGGCACTCACGCCGGGGGTATTTTATACGCTGGCAGAAGCACCATTTATGACAAGTTGTGTTCGCTCCAGCTCAAGGACATCGCCTGCACGCGGGTGTGCAGGCAGCTGTGGGTGCAGCACCTCGCTGGGAAACCGCCTGCAGCGACGCTTCATTCCCGCTTCCCCTTTCCAGAATCCAGCCCGTCCAGGGACAAGGATATACGTAACAGCTCCGCTTCCTGATTTCTACTTTTATTCATTCTAAGTGTTTGGTTTGGGCTATATTAGGTTCTTAGAGCTTCAGTGGTGGGGAGGGCTGGAGATTTTATCTGAGGGGGAAGAACATGTTTTATTAAGAACCAGGCAAAGGCATTTCAGGCATCCTCAGAGCAGCTCACGTTCCCACACTCCCCGCAGTCACACACCAAACTTCTCAAACTACTGCATCACTCCATGACCAACAAGTGAACCACTGAGCACATGAGAAGGAAGTGACTCAGACCGAAACGCATAAAGGACACATGAATGGGACAGGATTTCCCCTTACAGCTCTAAGTGGCGAGGCTTCTTTATAAATAATAAAGGAAAAAAAAAAAAAGGGGGGGGAAGGGGGGAACCTGACCCTCCTCTTCATTCAATTTTTAAAACAGCTCTGCCAAAAAGCTGCATATGGATCTTAAAGCTGGACTTCCTATTGCATACACCTATCCCCATGGCACACGGCCTGCCTGTACCAGACACCACTCCCTACCTACCACAAGCGCTTAGTAGCCATAAACTTTTTAGACCTTTATAAACCATCAGTATTTCTTCCTTATTTACCTTAAAACAGCATATTTCCAGCATCTAACATAAAACAGAGATCTTTGTTTACAAGTGCATCTCCCTCCAAAAAGCCTCAGTGCTTTTACTGCAGAAGGCCAGAGGCAATGGACTTGTATTCCCAAACCAAAACTGTCATTTCTGTGCTAAAAATACACTATGATGCTACGCTACAGGGCCAGCCTGAGGTAGGGGTGTTTATAATAGAAGCACTACCATGTCTTTAATGTACCATCATATCAGTACCATCGTGCCCAGCTGTCTGCTTAGGGCAGAGTCTATGCAGAGCACAGAGAAGGATGAAGGAGAGTCTGGTGGATCTGCTGTTGATGAGACAGGCAACTCAAAAAGCACTATTTACCTACTATAATTTAGTAGTACTGGAGATGCCATCAGGCTTTTCCGCCTCCCAGTCCTGAATCAGCAGCTTGGAAAAGCCCCAACTCTGTTGTCATTAGAAGGAGACACAAGGCAGAACTTCCCCACAGCACTTGTAGCTTCATGGGTCTAGGACCTTTACAACACAAGGTTGCAAGGTGAGCTTGAACGTCCCACATCCCCTGATCGGTGTCAGGCAGTTTAACACGTAACAAACCATAAACTGTCATTGCTGGAAGCGGGACCTGCGCATTCCTGGACCAGTTGCACATAAGCATCGGTCAGGAATGAAAGGATATGTTACAATATACACCGCAAAATACACCGCAGGGTGGCAAATTCACGGAAACAAACCCATCTCATCCAGTTCCTCCTCAGCCTTGTCACTTTATTCTTAAGTTTACACTCCTGTTTGCCACTTAAATCTTTTCTTTTTGTGGATATCTTGTTTTCTAAATCAAATCACTCATTCTTTACATACTATATACCCTCAACATCTTTTCCAGGACACTTTGCAGTTTTGGAAGCAGTACTACATCGTCATCACATTTTTGGTCATTAGCAGACTTAAATCTATACACCTACACAGAAAGTTGAAGGCTTAAATGGCTTTACTACTTGCTACTTCTGAGTGTCTTAACTATCCTAAGCAGTCAACCATCTTGGCAATATGAACCAAAATTACCAGATGTCACCAGCTTGCTTTTCCCTTTGATTACAGGTACTTCTACAGCCCTCTTAATCAGGTATCAATAAATATTCTAATTATTCAAGTAGAAACAGATAGTGTAATTATAAAATAGCAGCTGTGATTGTAAGCTTATAAATAGCAAGGTTTATTATTTTAGGGCTCTGTTCACCATAAGTCATTACAAAGCCCCTGGGAGAACATTTCTGCAGAAATCTGTGCTTTAGTATCCAAGTATACGTGTATGAATATTCCTAAGAAACAGGCTTTGATGGGAAAAAGCCTGCACTTCAGTACACAGTATGGTTTTTAATACTCCCTTTCCTCCCTTCTGCACTATAAGCATCCATTGGACATGGACTTAACCCCAGAATAGTGAGAGGACGTGGCCAGTTATCACTGAACATAGATATAGCACCTAATTTTAAAACATCAGTGAGTTTGATATATCAGGATGGTGTGATATTTGCTACTTGTTTATATGGTCTCCTGCTATGGGATTTTGCACAGTTTGATGGAGGACTCCACCTATTCCCACGTCCAGGCTCTCTCCCCAGCTCACGCAGCAGATGTCCCATGGCCCTGATGTCCCTTCTTCTCTTGACATCTTGAAGGTGTTAAAGCTCTTCAGCTGGAGGAGGGCACTTTGCTCCAAGAAAAAATTGAGTCAAACACAAGGGTTGCAGAAAGCCCTTTACGTAGATACTCTTGGAAACAGCTTGTTTTAAAGTTGGGCATCAAAGCAGATCTAGCAACGCCTCAGACTATGTTGCAGTTTAAATGCATAAAGACTATACTTTTTCCCCAGATCTTCATCCTCATTAATCCTACAACGGACTAGAGACACAAAAGAACGTCCATCCGTGAGCACCGATTTTAGAGGTGCCATGAACTGGTTAGACACGAAATAATTAGGAAGTTTAAGGCATCAGAGGAAACGCAACCTGTAGGTAGTCAAGACTTCACCTACAGCTCCTTGGGCCAACCTTACACACAGGATGGAAAATCAGAGCGAGAGCCGGGGACACCTCCCAAGATATAAGCATAATCTTTCTAAAAAATGAACAATATTGGGGTTTACTACAACGAAATGATTCCCGGGACTGCCTATATACAGCCTGGGACCATGAATGTCCTAAATGATATCCAGGCTCAGGTAACACTTTCCAGTCTCCGTGTTAGAGCTAGTTGGTCCTTGCTCCACTACTGAAATTCTTGGTTAGGGCTCTAAGACAAACTCTGAACTTCGTCCCTCATGTGAAAATGTTCAATTTAACCTTCTTGGATTAAAATAGTCTTAAACACAGCTCTCCACTAATCCTAAGGAATCTGAAGAATGGTTGGGAATCCTCATTCCTTGGTACATTACGGGCAATTTTCCTTCTTTCAGCTAGTGAGGAAGTTGCTCCTCCTGAGTATTTCTTGCAGTTATTTCTCATGAGTAAAAATATACAGTCAAATAAGCATACACTGTATTTGGATAATGGAAAAACTATGTCGTCTGCACAAATCCACATAAGAGATTTCAAACTGCGCTCTACTGCATTCTAAATATTTTAGATTGATCTTGTTATCAGCTTGCTTTCTGCATAAAACTTTCTTCAGCCAACTGAGGTTTTAGCAATCAGAAAGGAGACAAGAAGAAAACCGAGTGGATGTGAGGTAGAGTTGATTAAAGCAAGTTACTGACCTAAATTTAGGCAGAAGAGGCTATACATGGAACGATTGGGGTAAACAAGAGATTTGATGATATGAATGACCAAAAACTCACATTTTTTATGATAAGACTCCAGAAATGTGGAAGAATATTATTTCTATCATACCTACACTTGGTTAACCACAAATCCCAACTGCTAAGATTAAGTATTTTTTCTTCAATTTCTTCTGACAACCAATTTGATTCGTATTGAACTTTTACATAAGGAAATCTGTTTTTTCAACAACCTTTCTAAATGTTCTACCAAGTTAAATACATTCACACAGGCGATACAACACAGCACTACCTACTAGTCAGGTTCTGGTTACAGCTTCAATTTACAATAGGATTTTTGTGAAGCATCAAGATGCCTGTGTGAAAAGAAAAATAAAACCAAGAACTTGCCCATAAAATGCAATTATTTTCCAAAAAGTTAGGAAGAAAATGATGCTGCAGCTTCCAGGGAGTAATCATGAAAGATAGGGAGGTAACGGGCTCCTCTTACAAAACAAATACAGTGTAGCAAGCTCAACATTTATATTTAAGTTCACACTGTATTAACACTGTCTTTGCGTGTGGGTGGTAGTGTTTTTTGGCATAGTTACTAGATCCATACACAGGCCGTTGCGAGCCGGAAAGGTGCAATAAAAAGGAATTAAAAATAAATAAAACTGTCTTTACCATGTGGGTCTTGTTCACTTGACTTTGGGCTGCTTCTCGCTCTGCGTTCTGGTTTCTTTACTGCTGGTGCCCCCCCGCCGCCGCCGCCTCCTCCTCCTCCTCCACTGCTTGCTCCGTGCCTTCTCTTTGCATAACCGTTATATACAGTCGTGCAGCTGCCTATATGGCTTTTGTAGATGGATGAAGGAGGGCTATTCAGCCGGTTTTGGCGATCAATCTGCCGGTCTTTGAGCTTTTTGTGCTGTGGCTTGCCGTACTGGTCTTCCCGGGTGATGTAGCTGGACATTCCATATAGTGGTATGATTTCTGAAATGGAAGAATTCACCCACATTAATGCAGAACAACAACTAAAGCACCAAAATTTCACAGAAAACCCAGTTCCAGACCATCTTGAAATGAAATGATGCCAGATTGTTCTAGAGATACATTTCTATGACACGTCTATTCCTTTTCCTTTTCTTAAGAAAACTTTGTTCATTATTTTTTGTCTTGAGCATCTTGTTTACCCTTTTTATATCGCAGAGCTTTTTGGTTGACTGTCTACAAACCAGCTAAACTCAGCAATAAAGCCTACAGTTTTCTCCCCTCCTTCTCAGGCTGTGTGTTCCACAGACCCAGATTTCAAGGAAAAATGCCAGGAAAGTTTTCCTAAATTCAAAGCAATCCAGCATCTTCTTCCCCAGCACCTGATGGGTGCAGTAAGCTGCAATTCACTGCTTTCAAGCTGCCATCACTGGCTACATCCAACCTAACTTTCCAGCATAAACAGACTTTGCAGTGCCACAACGGTGCCTACCCAGGGACAGAAGCAATAGCTCCGCATCAAGTGGAAGCTTTAGGCTTTACAACAGGAGCTAAAAAGAAACACTGTTTAAAAAAGCTTCCAAAATGTCTTAAGAACACTGTTTCTTAGGGTTGCATGCATTTCAGATAAACTTCATTAAATGTAATGCCTTCCTCCTCCAAGAATGACTGTCTCCAAATTAAGGCAGGTCAGCTTGGAGGAATATGAGAAGTCTCTACTTTTCTCTACAACTTGATTGCCTTTTTTTTTTTTTTTTTCCTCCATTTGCCTTAAGTTTGAAGTCTGGACAAATTCACACTCAAACCACACAAAAAACGCTACCAGTTTTGCCTTTGTTAGCAAAACACCAACTGCTATCCAATATATTCCTTATACTTTTTCTACGTCCATTTGGAAGCCATCTTACAAACCTCCAAAGCAAACAAGCATCCTAGCCAGCTCTCAGAAGCCTTATTTTCAAGTTGACACTGCCTTATCGTATTATAAATTTCCAAATTGTTTCAACTTGCCAGATTTTCTTTCCTTTTCTCCTTCAATGGTGTCTAGTCTTTTATCTTCCTTATCTAGGTACATGATTATACTCAGGCTCTCACATCAACTAACAGCCTAAAGACAGCATGCCACAAATGCGTGCAATTTTTGTAACTTTGGACGTGAAAGGACACGTCTGAGATGGAAGGATTTGCGATCAGTGCTTGTTAGGAAAGAAAAGACTCAGACTAATTGTTCTATTTAAAGTATTAGCCCTTGTGCAACAAATCTGGAATGGTGACATGACATTCATCAGTGCAACATTCACTATTTAATTCTTTTCCTATTACAAGTATAGGTCATTCCAATATATCAACCAAAGAATTTTTCTCTCTCAAGTTGAATCACTTACTTGTTGCCTCCAGGCTATAGAAATACTCAACATCTACTTAACTAGCAGCAGAAAGTCTTCTTGTTTACGTAGCACACTGCAATATTTGCACATAAGGCTTTGTTAAGTAACCTCACAAACGGTAGTGGTCCCTTTTCAAGAGGGAAATTTCTGCTCTATTTATCTGATTGGCTATCCTGTCCTCTCATATTTACATATAGGACAGCATAACACTTCAATCAAATATTTCAAAATGTATTTTTACATAAATTAGCATTGTTGGCAGTTTCCCAATAATTTGTGAAGTTTCAGTAAGATTACAGTCTCCTCCTAAACAACTTCCATCCTGCCAGCATTTTCCTGATGAAAAACTGAAACCCATCTTCTTCGTGTTCAAGTAGCTTCAATATTAATTGGCAATTTTAGTCTTTTTTTTGGATGTAGTACAGGTTAGCAAAAAATACCACTAAAACAGACTGCATAGATTCTGCTCCACTTTCTTTCAACTCCTGCCTCTCACCAACCTACTCAAGTTAAATGTAAGTGGCAATGGTCCATTCTTCATTAGAACACGAAGTCTGCTGGCCAACAGAAAACTGAAAGGGGAGCATAAATAGATACCTTTCTTTCTTTTTCTGCCTCTTCTCTCTCCACTCTAGGAAAAAAAAACCCCAAACCTCACATCTGGTGATTTAGCCTAAATTCTTTAGAAAGGATATTAATTCTGGGAAGCTTCACAATTTGGCAGTAAGACACATGAATCCTGAACTGATTTCCATGTTAAACACCTCCAACAATTTTGCTGATTATTTCTTTGGTTAACGCCCTCTCTTAGAATACACCAAGACTTATCTCAAGGGCAAAGCAGACACAGCAATGCACAGTTGGACAGAAATACACTGCCTTCACTCCCTTTTTCTGCAATTATTTACTTATGGTCTGATTAGTGTTGCCATGCTACCCTTGGGTATCAGACAGTCATTTTCAATGATTTCCTGCACAATTTAACCAGGATAAAACACTGAAAATGCCTGTTATTTCTTAGAAAACCACCAGAGCTATAAACAGCTAGGGGGCAAAAAGCACATTTTTGCCAACAGGAAGCTGGTATTCAGCATCTCCCACTGGAAATGGGGTGAGACCTGTTGGTACCATCCAGCCCTCCTTCCAAGCCCCTATTCACCCCCATTCCCAAGACAGGATTGACAAATTTTGTTTTCTGTACAACGCTGCACCATGGTGCAGCAAGAACGATGAGCATGACTCACACCTCTGGTTTGGAACACAGGAGGAGAAAAGTTTTCCCTTTACATTTGAAAATCCAAATTGTTTTTGCATCCACAATCTAGAGCTACAGCATGCAATGTCTTGATTTCTTGCATGCTGGATGGTGGCACCCCACGACACTTGACACTCCATTCAAGTGAGAAAAGCCCTTTTACCAATTCTCCAATTCATCTGCTGTCCTTGGTTTCACGAGCCCATAACTCTGCACCAACATGTGTGTTTCTGCAGCACTTGCTTTCAGCTCACCTTGTTCTCCGTATATTGTAGGGGGAAGATGGTGCTGTGGGAAGAACTGTGGTGGCATGTCCCCAGGCCCAGTGACGGGAGGATAAAAAGCCGTATGAGAGTTGTGAATAAAATGGGGATGATGCGCCAGGTACGGAGGTAAGTGGTGGGTCGGAGAGATGGCCGAAGGGTAACTGGGAGGGTAACACTCCGGAGACTGCGGAGTAACCACCACCCTCCGGACGCCCGTGTTGTCTTCTATCACCTACAAGGCAAGGAAAGGAGCGTGTTATGCAGCATTGAACACATTTTTAAAGCAGCACCGTTTACAAGTTTGTTCTTCCATTAGAAAATGGGTGGTCCTAAGTTTTACTCATAAATACATTTCTAAAATGAGTATCAGCACAAGGGTAAACACGGGGTAATGTGTTTTTTCTCAAAGACTCAGATAGCCACCCTAATCACTGAAATACTAACTGTTGCTGGAGATAACTATGCAGTGAAGGAGCAAAATAAATATCCTGTATTAAAGAGAGAAAACAAGAAAGGAGCAGAAAGCACCAAAATAAGAGTATTCATTAGGACCAATCTCACCTTGCCCACATAAAATTTATACCAATTTTGACAGTGCTATTTGAGTGAGTATGGACTTAGTAATGCTTAGAAATTACCTGACACTGCTACTGTGGAAGAGCTTGCATGTGTGAGTGCAAGGAGACGTTTTCTGCAGGAATCTGTTGTGTTGACCTGCTTTTTCAAAGTAATTGCTCTGTTCACCAAAGGTGCCCATTAAAAACAAACTACAGGGCAGAAGTATTTTTCTACTACATCCTGGTCTATGTGTCCATGCAAATCAATTCTGAAATGCGCATAACTTGGCCCCAAGTTCCACAGTCAGAGCATGTAAAAACAGATGTAGAAGATGGAAATGTGCTTAGGTTGAAAAAAAAAAAAAATCAGCCTATAATTTTTCCAGAGTTATATTTCTGGAGAACAGTCAATCCGCCAAAATTCAGTCCAGTCTTAAGAGCCAAACTTTTCTCTGAACTTATGCAAAAAACTTCTGCCATTTTGGAGAATTAAAAATACAACCACATAAGAACAACTAATATTCCTTTAGTTTTGTATGTACAAGTGCATAAGGCATATAGAAAGCACAATTTAGTTTCCTATAATAAATAGGCTGTTAGAGAGACTTGTATTTCTCAGCTGACTGAGGACGCTGGAGGAGAACGACAAGCGAAATGAATGTGTTTTGTGAGATAAGTGTATGTGCAAAGGCACAGCACAAATGAAAAGAAAAACAAGCTTATTTATCGACTAAGCAGCAGCACGCGTTTTACCTTCAAGGTATTCCCATTGAGCTTTTAGGAGGTTTTGCTGCTTGGCATTCAGAACATCCTCACCTCAGAGCTAAGGTTTTTGGAAGATGAGGTCTAACGGAACGCGAGCATCTGCTATGAGATCCAGCTGCTTGACCCCATGAGTGCTGGAGAGACCCATCTCCCATAGCAGCATCAGCAGAAGAGATCTTGCTCCCACACTCCAGCTACTCTACCAACATCACGGTATCTGAGCCTAAACCATAAAGAAAAATGTGCCTACGCTAATGTATAGGGAACTAAAGCAGTCCTGGCATGGGCAGCGAGCTGCTCCTGCTCCCTGTGCTGCAGTGTGAGCAGCTTGGTCCAAGGAGCAAAGCCAAAGAGCCTCCAGCAAACACGGGTCCATGCCCCAGGCACCATCGGAGCAGGTATCAGAGGGTAACGTTTAACCAGTATTAGCTGACCTGTTTCCCACCCATTGATGCCCCAGGCTTATCTAAAACTAATCTCTTAGCTATGGTGTGAGACCACACACGTAAAATCTCTGTGAATGAGCTGACTCGCTACAGAAGATCATTTTCTAGAAAAAGTAATTCAGTCACATGACAAATTGATATTTTATGCTTAAAAAAAAAGTTTCTTGTGTTATCCTGATTAACCAGAATCAAAATCATTTACTTCAGTGTTTTTGTTCCTAATCTTTCACCTTACACCCTAAATTGGCAGTTTGCTATCTGCTAGCTTTAAATTTCAAAGACTTTGCATAGTCCTGAAAAGGCAGCTGAGCCTCAGACTAGAATGTTGCATCATTTCAATCATTTTCAAGCCTCCAATCTCTGTTACTGAGGTTTACTCAGCTTTCACAACTGCTCTTATTCTTGCATCAGCTTCAAAGCATATACTCAGAAATCTGGAGAAGAGGAAAATCTTTTTCCAATTAGCACACACCTAAAAAGCAGAAGTTCTCATGTAAGACTGCGTAGAGAAATTCTGGAGTTAGTCCCTTAGACTTGGATCACACCCTCACCTAACTGAGATACCAAGTTCCTAAATTTTGATGCGAAAAATTTTTGTTGCAACTTTACCTGAGTGAAACCTGAAAGAGAATTTTGGTGTTTCTCCCCAGTCAGTACAGGCTGTTATTGGTACACTTAGACCATACGACAGATGCATTTTATGCCTTAGATGTGTCACCAGCAGAATCAGACAGAAAGACTACACTCTGTAGCAGCAGATAACGTAAACTAAGAGCTAAGTTATTAGGATCTGTCTTCACGAGAGCACTAGCTTTACAGTATCAGCACTGGGGAGAGAAAAGCCATGGATCAGAGGTGAGAGCCTTCAAACAACCTCTGTCAAAAAGCTCAGCCTACCTTCTCTCACCTCCTCCCAGGGCACAGATGCTTGCAACATACTGCACATCCACATGTTCCACATCAATTCGGAAACACAAACAATTATTTTATTTCCTTGCCTACAGGACACTTCCTCTCCAAATGAGGATTTATACAGAGAGAGGTACATTTCTGAAGCCACACATACAGTCTATAAACAAGAGATTCTGTCTCGAACAGCACATAAAATTGGTAATCAATTATGCGGTAATATATGTGATAAGTCTTATGGAACTATAAAAATAGGAATGGCTGAAGTGCAGGTGTCTCCGATTTGTAAAATTCACCAGGGGTATATTTTAGCATTTTTAGTGCCATTCTGGGAGGGGACATCCTGTATCAATTTGACAGAATGAACTGGCTTTTATCCATTACTATAAAAAAACATAAATCAGCAGAGAGGTTAAACTTTGCTGTTTAAAGAAATCTGCAATTCTTTGTGTCTGCTTAGAACTGTTGTGAAGACAGCAAGATCTTTAGGCAATGCGCTGCTTCCTGAACTGCCTAATTCAGTGCCCACAAGCAATGAAGCCCTAATCCCTGTTGTGGTTTCTAGAAGCAACTGGAATATTAAAAGCAATTACTAATTTTAGCAGCTTATATTCATAGAAAAATATTCCTGGTCATTTGGCTCTTAGAAGCAAACTTTCAGTATTTTGTACTTTTCAAACTTTACTAATTAAATCTTCTTTGGTGTTATATTTTAGTGCTTGACGATGTTAATTGGCACACTGCCTCTGTAATAATATTATTATAGCAGCTTCATATATTTTTTTTCATATTTTATGAAGCTTAATTACTAAGTGCAATAGATGATCTTTCAGAAGATTTTGGATGAAAATAACTCATACACAAAATTACCTCCCACGCTGGTTGCCACATTTTCAGAATAGCATTTTTGGTTACCCATTAAAGATATCATTGTAGAAATGTCAAGTCAATATAACTGAGAATTCACATCACTTCATGTTCTCTTTTCTTTTTCCATCAAAATACAACCCTCCATTTCAGGAAAAATAAAAACATGAATTTTGTACACATATGCTGTTTCTATATTTTTAAAGTTCTACTTAAGGAAATACAATTATTCTTACCTGTAACATACAGGTTTACAGAATAAGTATAATATTTTAAAGTGGAATTAATTTTCAGTCTCTTTCAAAAAATATTCTTATTTTAATTAGATCTTGTGTGCTGGATTCTGCAAGGACACCTGGAGCTTGCCCATTGGGCGGGTTCTTATACCAAAACTTTGGGGATTTCATAAACTAATTCAAAACTTCATTCATAAATCAATCGTACCAGAAAACAGTATGAAAATGAGCTCATCCTCAATGAGCTCTTGATGTCAACATTTTACTTATTTAATATATTAAGGATGCCAATGCAAAGTCTGGCTAGTCCTAACAAGTTTAGCATCACTATCTTTGCCATCCATTATTTAAAAACACTAGAGTTTGAGTCTGTGCTTTAAACTTGGCATGTAGACAGGACAAATAACTATAATGTTGGCAAGAATGCAGTGATATTTGATTTTACATCTAGAATAGGTCATTAGAGCTAATGCTTGCTCCACACGAGTAACTGATCTAAGAAAATCTGGCCTGTGTTGAGGGCGTTACGGAGGATCACCCTGCTGAAGGATGACTCCATCGCTCACAGTCCATAAAACAGAGAAGAAGCTCTGAGAGCAGCAAATCATGCAAAATCTGTGGCTGAAAGCTTAGACTAGGCAAAATGAGTTTGGAGGAAAGGCCTTAAAATATCTGTGGCAGAGAGTGAACGCTGACAACTCTGTAAATAAAACCAAAAGGAGGGTTTCGTGCCAGATTTTGCTCTCACTAATGTCCAACTACATATGAGTAATTCTTCAAACTCTGGTGGAACATCTCCAGATTTATCTGAGTGGAGTCTTCAGGCAATGGCCATAAGACAAGTTAATATTTCTATTTTTCAAATCTTTGTCATTAGGACACCTCAAATCCGCCTCCCTTCCTCCTCCAAAATACAGCGTGAAACTCAGAGTGCTTCATGAAGATGTCCCCACATTTCACAGTTTAGCATCCAAATGATGGATCTTTATCCTCAAGAAGCTCCTCAGAGCAGAGGCAGCCTCACATCATCCCCTCTAATGTGCCCAGCACACATAGCACCAACAAAACAGCTTCTTGTGGTTCTTGAAGCCTGGAAATAAGAAGAATCCAGCCAGGTTTCTGCCAAGTGCCACTGGAGCTGGTCGCAGGGGGCACAAAGTGACCTCCCAATTCCCATCTGATGATCATTTCTCCTGGACCAAGGAGGGAATGGAACATTCCTTGAAGCTGCGGCTAATGGAAAAAAGATTTCATGGCTTTTCTTAACGGGCTCCATTCCTCCTCCACAGAGGTTTCAGCTCTCTGCCTGACTCCTAGATGGTCACTCTGGGGCAAACCAAGTGAAAAATCAAATGTGTTTTTATTCACTTCTCAGAGTGAATTAATTTGCCTTACAGCCTCGCTCCTCTAAGCTTGCCTTCTCAGGTTTTTTTCATGAAATAATTTATTAATTGCAATACAGCAGAGCAAAAGAAAAAGCAAGGAAAGCAGAGACATTTATTACAATAGAGCTAATTTGATTACAACATGCTTGCAAGGATTATTTCATATCACATCATTTGAAAGGCAAAAATGCTCACTCCCCACATGGCAGAACAAACATCCTGCTGCTGAAAAACACCAAAGAGTTTTTCCCTAAAACTTTACAACACATTTGCAGCCGCTTGGAAATTTTTTTCAGAGGAGGATTTCTTTCTTCTTTCCTCCCCCGCTTTTTTTGGTGGAATTATGGTGCCCTACAAAAATTCTTGCAAAGCAGACAGGAGGAACGGGGTTCAGATAGAGGCACAACTGGAAGACTTTCATTGTGCAGTTTTGGAAAGCACTTCATTATAGAAAAGCATTTATCTTAGTACAGGGGCTGGTTGGTATAAGCAGCTTAATAACAAAAAGGTGTCAAAGCTACTTCAAAGGAAAAGTTAATCTTTTAAAAACAAAAGCAAATGGAGTTTTCATTATTAAAATATATTAAAAAACCCCACACAGAAGTCAGCCCATTGCAGCAGCCCTACGTGGGCATTCTCAGTGGTGTCCAGGGACAGGGCAAGAGACAACAGCTACAAACTGAAGTACAGGAAGGTCCATCTGAATTTGAGGAAAAACTTCTTGACTGAAGAGGACAGAGCACTGGCACAGGCTGCCCAGAGAGGCTGTGCAGTCTCCTTCTCTGGTGACACTCAAAACCCACCTGGATGTGATCCTGTGCAACGTGCTCCAGGTGACCCTGCTTGTGCAGGGCCTTGGACTAGAGGACCTCCAAAGGTCCATTCCAGCCTTGATCCTGCTGTGATGTTGTGAATCTGCTTGCTTTTCTAAGGGCACCTTTTGCTCAAAAACCAAGGGAAAGCATGAGCTGTGAAGTTGTGAACACGCGGTCATTGCTGCACCAAACCAAGAGAGAGGCTGGTCCGAAAAAAAAACGGGCTTCTCATCGGGACTAATGCCTCGGTTTCTCATATTAACTGAAATTGAAGGGCATCGATCCACTTTGGGATGTCTAGGGTATTATCTTCATCAAGAAGACAATTAGGTCATACTGCAAATACCAGCATAAACAGCTCTCAGCAAAGCACTGATTTCTGATGATTGCCTCCAAACATCTCCCTTTCACATCCACCAGAGCTCAAATCTTAAACCAATAATGGTGAGGCAAATAAAATATGATCCTTCCACCTACGGGGTACTGAGCAACAAAAAGTTTCATTCTCACAGATTCCCTGGGAACACCCAGGAGCACCCAAGATACAAGACCATTCCCCGTATTCTATCAGAAGAAGGTGCACTCTGGGAACTGCCCAGAGGCTTTCCCAAGATCCAAAGCTCTTCTCAAACTATGGGATACTTTGGAGATTCCTCTGCATGATATGGACCATCCTTTTAAAAATTGGTGGGCCTGTAAGGAGTTTTAAAAAGCATTTTAAATGCTCTCTCAATGCGTACCTCAAACGCCCACCTCAGGAGACCTAAGGCATTGGAACCAACCACCTTGCTGGTCTCTGTACTCCCTTCCAGGCCAGGAGACCAACCCGCAGACAAGTCTTCCAGGCAGGTCCTTCCTTCAGGAGACAGAAGCCCATGTCCTCTGTATTTGAGGCGCACACTGTACTCAGAAGCCAAAGTACCACTGAGTGATTGAAGTATCTTGTAGAACTCAAGCATGATACCATCCATCATCAACTTCTCAAAATTACACAA